GAATACCCTTGCTGATTGGACCAGGGGTATTGAGAGCTAGACGATTGACCTTAGCCTTGGTATTGAATTTGCTTTGGAGGCACATGAGGTGAATATGTATTAGAACCATGAGGAATGGGATTCTCATTTCTCCAACTAAATTTTAGGTGATTACTCCAACCTGAATTGTAAGTGTTTGAGTGTAGGGAGAATGATTGCCTCATTTGGTTAAAGGCATTGACTTGCTCGTGGTACACTTCCTTAAGCGTTAGAATTTTGGGGCACTTTGATATGGAATACTTTACATTCTCACAAATCGAGCAAGACTTCTCAGTCTTTGAAGCATAGGACACCTCGTGTCTCCTATTGACCTCAAGACTCTCTACTTTCCTAGACAACTTGGCAATTTTTGAAAGCAAGTCTTTTCGGCCTCTCAAATCATACATCCCTCCCTCATGTGCTTGATTACTACCCTAAAGAGAAGACCTCGGTACATCAGTGGGATCCTTGATATCCCAAAATTGTAGATTTTGTGCCAATGTACTAAAGTATTCTAGGGCCTCATCAGGGTCCTTGTTTAAGAACTCTCCATTGCACATCATGTCAATGAATTTGTCTATGGGCCAGTGTAATTCCTTCATAAAAGAAACTCACCAATTGCCACGATTCAAAACCATGATGTGGAATTGATTAAAGTAATTCCTTGTAGCGATCCCAATAGTTGTAAAATTGTTCATTGGGCTTTTTTGAAAAGTTTTGAATTTATTTTTTAAGAGCGGTGGTTTTAGGCACCAGAAATTTTTTTTTTCAAAAACTCGAAAAGTATTTGAGCCCAAGAAGGTATGGATCGAGGCAGCAAGGAATTCAACCACATTTTTGCTTTGTCCATAAGGGAGAAGGGAAACAATTTCAAATGAGCTATGTCTTCCATAGCATGGTGTTGAAGGTTGCAATTATATCCTCAAATTCTTTGATATGCAAATAAGGGTTCTCCCTTTCAATTCCGTGGAATGTAGGGAGTAGTTGCAACATTCTTAGCTTAACTAGGAAGGCATGAGCTTGGACTGGTAGGATAATGCATGAGGGAGTGATGCTTCAAGTTGGTTGAAGGTAATCCCTCATTGACCGCGCTGGAGGATCAAGTTGGATGTTGTTTCCTTCATTCCTAGGAGGGAAGTGTGTTCTCGGGTTTGGAACTCTAGGTTCTTGCACTCCACCTCCCCTTGGGACATTCATATTAGCACCCAACTCCTCAAAGTTTTCACCGACATCCTCGGGTAGGTCTTGGTCGATGTTTATATTGGGTCTAAAGGTTGTCTAACCAATCGGTTTTGTTCATCCCATCCCCACATACAACACACTATCTACAAAATGCAAATATAAACAACAAAAGTATATACAAGGAGCAACATACCTTAGCCCATGATGAAGATCCCGGGACTTACCTCCGTTGTTCAAAAATCACCTTCTCAATTCAACACTTTGCCTTCCTCGGTAACGGCACCAAAAATACTTGACTTATTTTCTGTTGTTGTATCCTAATCTCTGCACATGAACCCTCAATATGTGTGTGGCTTATGTGTGTGGGTGAGTGTCACTCTCACTCGAGTTCAATGCAAGAAATGGGAAAACGGATATGTGGAATGAAATGAGTGTGCATGTGTAAACAAAAGTGCTCTCCAAGCATAGAGAGACTTTTGAGGGTCGTGTTTTACTTGAAAATCATATTCCAAGGTCATCTCCTCAGGGAAGGAAGGGAATTGTATGAAGGTGATTTTAAAAGTGTAAAAATCTTTAATGTTTGAGGTTTGGTGGTTTGTGTTCTTGATGCAAATGAAATGGAAATAAGTGTTGGCTAATCCAAAGAGATCATTTCAATAGGAATGTCAAATCAACACAAGACCTTCCTCCAATGGTGCCTAGATGTTTGATTGATTCGTAGGAAGTGTGGGACTAAAATGGAGGTGAGGATTTAAGCATACCAAGTGACAAGTCTACGGTGTATCAAGAATTCACAACCACGTTCGCACTCAACCTAGTCAAACCAAATCATCGTACACTATGAGGAGGAATGAAAATGGGTTGATTTGGCATACCCAAGAGGAATTCTCCCTTGGATTAGCCAACTTAAAAGTTTAGCTACTCATATCTAAAGCAAAGACATAAATGAAATGGAGAGACATTGTAAAAAAATGAAGATTGGGACTTAAATTAATGCAAGAAAACACTAATTACATAAAAATGCATTTAATACCCATTTGAAGAGCTTTGAGATGAAAAACTTAAATACATTAATGGTAGAAGCTAAGATACTCAACTAAATTTGAAATATACTGGAAATAAATTACATTAAAGACAATAAATGAAGCTTATAGAGGATTACAAGTGAAATTGATGGAAGAAATGTAAAAATATAAGCTTTCTCTCTCTAAACTATGTCTTCTTCCCTAGAGTTTATCTTTCTACAATGCAATGTATATCAATAATGGTGTATCAAGCTTGGAAAAATGTCCATGAAGCAAGCTAGCACAGGCCTAGTCTACACTCCTAGGCTTCACCTCTTCTTTCTCACCTCATTAATGTTCAAGCCTCCAAAGTCCAAGCTAGGGCTGAGGAGGGGATGTCTATGTTTAAGGAGTGTCAGGAAAAAAGTGGGAGACCCAATGGTGGGACCCCCAAAGTTGTAGAGCTTGAGTTACAGAATCTGGCGTGTTTCAGCAAAAGCTATCGGTACGTCGATGGAAACCTACCAGTAGGTTTTACTCCAGTGAGCAAAATCTATCGGTAGGTTTTGTTACACGAATTTGATATTGACAATTTACGTGCAAGTATACACGATCAACAAGTAATAAAGTGATAAGTAGAGTATCGTTCCCACGGAGAAATATTACTAATAATATTCAAGTACTAACTTTATATCAATTCAATTTTATTTAAACAATTGGAATTGAACTATGAATTTACTAATTTAAAACTAAACCTAAACTTAATAATCAATGGTTGAATTTACCGGGTAAAAGAACTTAAGATTACAACTTTCTCTAATGCTTCGTATAAATCATTCTAACTCTCTTTCCAGTTAATTGATCAAAATAAGTTGTTAACTGAGAACTTAAAGTTATTTATCAAACCTCTTCCGATAGTTAGATAAAATTATATATCTCAATTAAATTACTATATTTCTATGCAAAATAAGTTGGAATAGATTCATTAAGTTCAAACTCTCATAAAAGTTACACATGGCATATAGGTATATTCTTATCCTATACACAAACCCAGCTATTCAATCCTAAGAAGAATAAACTAGACGTCTGTCATCATATTCCGATCTAAACCTAGAATTCACCTTCCAATTTCATCTAGTTTATCAAATTAATTGTTGGCCACACAATCATACATCAATCACAAAATATGACAAACAACTCATATAAGATCAATAAGAACCAGAAACGAGAGTAGATTAATTTAACTAGACATAGGTTCCGTTGCAATCTTAATAATAATTTAGTTCATAATGTAATTGAAAGACATCATTCTAAAATTAAACAACATCTTAGAAAAACAAGAAATAAAGGTGAGAAAAGAATGAAAACTTAGGTGCAATCTTCAATCCTTCTCTAACCTTCAAGACCAATCTTCTTCGTGTCGATTCCTTCGATTCTTGTCTTCAATTTTCTTCTAATTCCTTGATTTTTCCAGATGTTTTCAACCCCCAAAAGTCGGAATATATCATCCCCACACAAACCCTAGCATATATATAGCTTTAGAGTCCAATTTCGGGTCAAAAATAAGGTAAAATTCGCGTCACAGACCAACACAAGCACGGGGGCGCTGAATGGGCAAAATATGGGCGTAGGGGCACTGATTCTGCGCTAGAACAGCGCTGGCCTTTTTTAAACCTTCAACTCCCTTGTTGGTCAGCCTTAAAAAATCTCCCATTTAAGCTCCAAATTGACCTTGTTTCCTTCCAAATGATCTTGTTTGCTTTCAAATGATGATTCCTACCAAATAACATCAAAATAAATAAAAAGAAGCATAAAATAATTAAAAACTTGTAATTTCATTAAGCCAAAAGTACTCAATTCGTAGGTATAAAACCCACTCATCAGGTTTACGACAGGTGCAGGTCCGTAGCCAAAACCTACCGGTAGGTCCTACCAGTAGGTTTTCACTTGTTTTGTTGAATTCTTGGTTCCTTCACCTTCCAAGCTATCGTTAATCCTCCACCTCATCTCCGTTCACCTTAAGCACCATGATAGGGCCTCACATGCACCACTTAAGCCTTTTTCTCTGCAAACATACCGAAGCTCCGTTAATAGCTTGAAACATTGAAATATCTCTCATTCTCACCACAAAATCAAGCACAAAAGGGGGTGCAAATGTACATAAGATGTGCAACATTTTATGCTAATCAAATAACATTCACCTGTAGCCTGTGATCCCATATAAGCCAAATGTATTTCTCAGCAAGAGGATTAGCTAATGAGGACTGAAAACCCATCAAGTTATAGAACTTATGCAACTTGGTGGAATTCATCTTAGGCTCTAATATAGAAACTAAACATACATCATGTAATTTAATCAACTTCTTGAGTCTTAACCTCAAAGACTCATTTTTGGCACCCCTAACATTCCAAGGGATTACACTAATCATAGAGAATTTTTTTTAAGTTAAAATTGCTAGATTTTGATCTAGTAACCATACTAGTGTGAGGATAATTTTGTTTCTATTGCATTGCCACGCTACTGTCACCATCTTCTGAATTATCTGAGCCTGCTTCAAGGCATTCTAATGAGGCAGTATTTTTATAATCAGAATAGAAGTCCTTGTTTAGAGGCTCTTTAGACTAGATCAGTCCCTTCTCATCGTCCATATAGACCCCGAAACTTACCCTACACTCATAGAGATGATCGAGTAGAAAAGTAGAGTCTAAAGACGGAAGTTGCTACCCATTTAGCTGACGAGTCCTAGCGTCTTGTCCATTTGGTTTGGGGAAGAAAGGACAAGCTCTCTATTCGTCTCAGAGAGCATTTTTTGCCAAAGTTTCAGCCTCTGTTTCTACTGCATGAACATTTAAGGGAATAGTTGCATGAACAGTAGTATCATGAATTTCCTCTACATACACATTTGTATCTACAGCTTCTGCATCAGCTGAGTCCATGGTCTGTGGAGCCTCTGTCTCTTCATTTGGAAACTCTTTGAATTGGAAGGATTCATTAATCAAAGGATTCTGAATAATAGTAGTGTCCATATCTTTGCCTGAATGATCGCCTGCTTCCAAAATTATGGGGGTTGATTTCAAAAAATTCCCTACAATATCCTTGGTAATGACTTGCAAAGATTTGGCAGAGCTTCCTTCCACAATTTTTCCTTTACCATTTATTTCCTTTTGTAGTAGATTTGGCTTCCATACTCCTTTCCGTTGCACCCTATTGTGCATCTTAGACGAATCCGAAAGTTTCCTAACTAGGTTTCCTGCTTCATGAATTTGGATACCTTCCTTTTCTAGGTTTTGAATATTCTATCCTTTCTCCTTTACAATAGTTTCCTTTTGCACATCCGCAAAATCTGAAGGAGAGATCTTTCCTTCTGCAACCTTCATTTGATTCAATGGCTTCTTCTTCTTGCATTCCATCTCTTCGTGACCTTGCTTTCCACAACCTTTGCAGACTTTCTTGTTTCTTTCATACACAATATTTTGCCAGCGAGCATCTTCCTCTCCCATATCAAGCTAAATCATTGAGGGATTATTAGCTAGTAAGTTAACTTCAACACACACCCTTGCCACCCCAGGCCTAGCCAGTGAAAGAGTTGTTTGGTCATATGTCCTATAGGTTTTACTAACAATTCTAGAAAAGGTTTTTTGAAGAAGTTTAATTGAAACCCTCGTAAAGATATCCACATTGTGACAATAGAAGGTCCTATACCAGGAACAAATGCAAGGAACCATTTAAAAAATCTGAACAGGTAGTCTTCAATCATGGTAGCATCTTTCAACCAAATTTTTACGTAGTTTTCATGCTTTCCAAACCTTATCAAAATATGTTTGGGATCCATTGATCCTATCTCGAAATCTCCTTTCAAATCCCATTTAGAACGTATAACTTCTCTAATCACTCCCAAACTTGGATGTCCATAGGGACATTTGTCTATTAATGCGTATTGCAAGGACAAGCAAGATTGCTTCACTTATTCATTTGTGAAGTAGAAGGCTGGCTCACCCTCATGAAAAACAACTAGTTTTTCAATGTTGAGTATAGATTCTTCCACATGAGTAGGCTTAAGTGTTTGTTTAAACAGTGATGCAAAGGTTAGTTGGGGTTGTGATTGATTTGCAGGCTGTAAATCTGGAGGCTTTGGAGGTATTAAGGAAGAACTAGGTGAAGAGCTCATGAATGGGAGGAAATCCTAGAGAGAAGTAAGAGTTTTTCTTTAGAATTATCAGTTGACTAATGTTAACTACTTAATTTGAATGTTAATTTAATGAATTAAATATTAATTAGATGAAATTGTATGTTAATTTGGTGTTGATTTTTTAAATTGAATATTTATAAAATAATTTTGGATGTTAATCTGATTAATTTAGTGTTAATTTCAAATTGGAGAAACAAATTCATTCTGCAGGCAATTTGAAACAATACCAAAAATCTTTCTGAGAATCCAAAGTTACTTAAGGAACGCTTCAAGAAATCTCATTCTAGTCTGTCAAAAGCTTTCATCATATCCAACTTAACAATAATGTTTCCAGCTTCAACTTTTCTGTCCAGCTCATTTCTCATAAATTGAACCAGAGCTATGCTATCACTAATGTTTCTTCCCTTCAAAAACCCCTACTGTTCCTCATAAATAATATTTGGCAGCAAAGAACCTAGCCAAGATGTTAGTATTTTAGAAAAAGTCTTGTATAGAAAATTACACAAACTTATAGGTCTGAATTCTACAAAAGATGTTGGGTTTTCAGTCTTGGGGATTAGAACAAATAGAGTTGCATTCACAGATCTTGGTACTTCTCCTCCTTCCATGAAAATATTAGTAGCTTCCAACAAATCCATCTTAATAATATCCCATACTGAACGAAAAAACTGTCCAGAATATGCATCAGGTCCAAGTGCACTGTATATAGACATTGAAAAAATAACCTCCTTCAAATCTTCTAAAGAAACTGGTGAAGTTAGCCTTAGATTATCCTCAGCTGTAACTAGCTTTAGAAAATAACTCCTCATCCACCATATGATGCTCAGATTTATACAAGGTAGAAAAAAACTCCACTCCACATGCTGCAATTCCTTGTTCATCTTCCACCCATTGATTATATGAGTTTTTAATTCTAACCTGCCTATTCCTTACTGCTTTACTTTTTCCTAGGGCATGAAATAGTTTAGTGTTTATCTCTCCCTCTACTGTCCACTTAACATTTTCCCTTTGTCTCCAAAATATCTCCTCTATTTGTAAGGCCTTCTACAAATCTGTTTTAACCTCCATTAAAGTTTAGCTATTAGTCATGGAATCATCCCTCTCAAATGCCTCTTCTGCTCTAATCAATTTCAACTCCAAGCTTTCAATATTCTCAAAGACATTTCCAATGAAATTTTAAGTACTTAAATTTTAAAAAGAAGTTCTCAATTGGATTTGAAGAATACTAACCTGACTAGTTGCAGAAAACCAGGATGTTCAATCCACATATTCTGAAATTTGAAGCACGAAATTCTTTGCACAGCAGTAGCTTCAGTAAACTTCACTAGTAATGGAAAATGATAAGTTTGTCCTCTTCCTAAATTCTCCACTGTAGTACTTTGGAATCTTTCTCCCCATGCCACACTTACCAAAGCTCTATCCAATCTCTGCCACATTCTAGTCATTCCTTGGTGATTATTACATCAAGTGAATGTAGCACCAGAATGTCCACAATCTTGCAATGCAAGTTAATAATAGAGATGAATTCATTCATAGTAGATAAAGTGGGGACAGAACCCCTTTTCTCTCAGCAGATGAGACTATAGTATTGAAATCCCCAATTACCATCCATGGCTTCAAATTAACTGGTAACTCAAGTAGGTGACTCCACAACCCCCTTCTCAATATGTGTTTACATTTTGCATAAACAAAAGTTATCAGCAAAGGTTCAGAACCCAGAAAAGAAGCCTCCACTGTAAGAGCTTGCTCATGAATAGCTACAATATCCACTTTCAATCGATGGTCCCAAAGAATCCAGATTAGTTTCCCAGCCAATGGAGTAGCATAGTATGATGAAAAACCCATATGTCTACACAATTGACTCAACCTTGAAGCATAAGCTTAGGTTCTAAAATAGACACCAGACAAACATCATGCGACCTAATCAATTTCAGTAACCTTAGTCTTGATGCTTCTTGATTTGCACCTTACATTCCAAGCGATTGTGTTAATCATTTAATTGGTTGGATGGAATTTGTTTGCTAGATCGAGATCTAGTAACCACACCTAAATGTGGTATGAAATTAAGGTCATAGGTCACTTCTGCATCAGAGTCATGAGAATCAACCTCTACATAGTTCAGACTTCCTGAAAGCTCCCCCTCTGAATAAAATCCTTTATCCGGATATTCTTTAGTAATTTGAAATCCCCTATCATCATCCAGAGTCATTTTAGAACCTTCTATGCATGCAAAATTATGGTCGATTAAAAAAGTTGAATCCCAAGAATCTGTTAATTGTTTGTTCAATTTGCTTTGCACAACATCTTCCCATTGCACATCAACATCATGAATTTGCTGAGCAATATTTTCCTGATCACTATTTGCTGGATGATTTGGCATCTGCAACGGCAAATCAAATTGACTTTCATCCAAATCAGCTGCCACCATATTTGTTGGAGTAATCGCGTCTTTCCCAGAATGCTCCCCTGTTTCCAAAACTTTCGTTACAGTAATCAAATGAGGCGAATGCACTGGTTGTAATTGACTTTACAAAAACTCTTTCTCCATTGGTTGTATTCTTTCCTTCTAAGCCCAGTTTCTATATTGGAGCTTTCTTCTTCCTGCATTCATCGTCTCCATTGGCCTTGTTTCTGGCAAACTGTGCAGAATTTCTTGGTCTTCTCATAGATTATTTTTTGCCATCTTGCTCCTTCATCCTCCATATCAATCCAAATTCTGGAGGGGTTTTTTTCTAATAAACTAACTTCAACACATACGCGTGCCACTCCCGATCATGATAAAGATAGTGTAGATTGATCGTAGGCTAACCCCCTTCCTATTGGCTTAACCAGTAACTCTAGATACCGTCTCTTGAAGAAATTCAACGGTAGCCCTAGTAATGACACCCACATAGGCACAATTGAGGGTTCTATACCTGGAACAAAGCCTGAGAACCACCTAAAGAACCTGAACATATAGTCTTCAATCAGGATGATGTCCTTGAGCCATATTTTAACATAGTCTTCATGCAACTGAAACCTAATGAGAACATGTCTCTGATCCAATGAGCCTACTTCAAAATCTCCTCTTAAGCTCCATTTTGTTCTTATGACCTCTTTAATGACTCCCAAAGATAGCCTACCATAAGAACATTTTTTAATAAGAGTATACTGCAATGACTTAAAAGAATCCTTGATTTCTTCATTTGGAAAGTAAAAAGCAGGTTCTCCTTCGTAAAAAACAATTGGTTTTTCAATCTTCGGGACTGCCTCTTCAACAGGTTGGTATACATAAGTTTTTTTGAGAAGGGTCATAGATAGGTTGTGGGTCTAGTGATTTGTGTAGATGATCTTGTGGTTGTTGTTGCTGATTTGATTGTGAAGGACAAGAAAGTGGTTGGTTGGATGAATCTATAGGCTTTGATGTTATGTCTGGAGGTTTTGGAGGGATATTTGTTGTGTTTTGTGAAGAGCTCGTAGAAGGAAGAAATTCTACAGAGAAATCAAAGCTTCTCTCTCTAAAATTATCATCAAATTACTTTATTACATATGAGATTACTATAATTTCAGCCTACTCATTAATTTATAATCTCTTGAATAGTTCATGGGATAAAAAAACCTCTACAACTCCATCTTCGTCCTTGTCTGAATTTTTTTTTTAATGAAATTGTAGAGGCTCAAACCTACTTAGTAGATAGCCAGTAAAAAGTAATATTATTTTAAATTTTATTAACGGTTGTAACTCTTGAATTATGAATCAATGGTGGATATTTATTTTTCAGTGTCATACCATAAAGGTAAAAGTCGGTTCCATAGAAAGACTCTAAAAAAATATATATATACTAGTCATAACCCGTGTCTGAAGACACAATAAAATATAAAATTCGAGCGTCCAAAAAATCGATCCCACTATATTTTTTCAAAATATATTAACTACAAATTAATTAAATATTAAATGATTAAATATATGATAAAAATGAGTTGTATGATATTTTTAGAGAGGAAATATAAAAATGATTAAATATGTGATAGAAATGAGTGATGTGATTTGACGTTTGAGTCTAACAAATGGATGATGTGTGAGGTAAATGATTGGTGATGATTTTGAGGGAGAAAATATGACTGGGATAAAATTCAAACACACTCCTGTTTTATTATATAGATTCTTGAAGATCAATTGAGAAATTCGAATGAACCAACCTTATAAACCCTGTTTGTTTACAGTCGAGTAAAATAAAAATTGTTCGGTTTGAAAGGTTTTTAACGATTCTTTAGCATATCCAATCCAATGATTATGATTTGGTTCACCAGATAATACTAGTTTTAGAGCAACTCTAACTCAATTTTTTATTTTAATTAGTTAAAATATATTTAAATATTACATACTTTATTTAAAAAAAATTATTTTTATAAGTTCACTTTAATCATGCTCTCTATTTTAACTAACTATTTCAACTAACTTTTAATAATTTAAATCAAAAATGTCATATAGTGTACCATGTAATCGTCGTATTGATGACATGGCACAATAATGTGTCATGTCATGTCATCAAAATTTTAAAATTTAAATTTTATAAAGGTCATATTTTTTCAACGGAATACTTGTTGAAACTCCAAGCTCTTGATTGTTGTTGAGTCCTCTGTTGAAGGAAGATGAGTTGTTGACACAGAAACCTCTAGTAGCAGAATGTTTGACGAATCCGAAAGGCTCTCCAAATTTTGGCAAACCTTTTTGGTAAAATGAGAAATAAAAAGTGATGTAAGAAATGACTTTTGAAGAGTGAGTTGCAATTACTCCATTTGGCTAAGAGCTGAGCCTACTTCAAATTCCACGTCTATAGCTACATACCTACCAGGATAATTTATAATTGATTGTGTAATATCAGGTATCGAAAATGACATGATATTAATGTTGTGTTAGAATATTTTCTCCTACAGCGACATGTAGAATCCAGCAATTAATTGGACTTCACAGATAAAGTGGGTATGATATATAATATTTATAGTAAACAATAAATATAACTTTCAAACTATCATCTTTGTGCTAGTCAAGTCCCTAAATTTTTTTTGTCAATTGAACCCCTAGCTTTCTAATTATGTTAATTGCACCTTTGTCTCTTTGTTCCATATGATCATGTGAGTGACACTCTTAATGGAGGCAGATAAAATGACTGAATTGACATAATAAAAAATTTATAGAATAACTCAATTTAACACAATTAAAGAGTTCAAATGCTCAATTAAGACAATAAAAACTTCATACACTTAATTGACACAAGGATCATAATTTAAAGGATATATGTGCAATTTAATCTAATATATAATGTCAGACGGCACAGACCAGGTATACCAAGGTCAAAGCACTTCCTATTCCTAATAGATTTGACCCTATAAGAAACTCTATAGACACCAAGTTTCCTTTGAGTCCTAATTCTACTACGATGCCCATGATTCATTAGCCCATATTGCTCCCGAACAAATATGTATGATTGGTTTAACCCATACGTTGCTATGGCATCATCACAATTAAGCCAAGCAGGCAATGGCATCATCACAATTAAGGCTAGCAGACACCATCTCCTCCACGTTTGTGCCAACCACTATAGTGCTGTGTATTCAAATCTGAAAACAATCATTTAATGAACACAATCCCCAAAAATCAGGTTGAGGACTAGTCTAAAATTGTACAATACAATAATGACTTATAAACCAATATCACTTGTGTCAAGTCAGAGGAAGCAATTGGGTAGCTTTCTTTCGAGGCTAGCTACAAGTGACCGAAAGGGTAACAATTTCAAAATAAGCAAATAACACTAGTGCAACTGCCTTAAATTGTACATTTCCAGAGTATTTTCTGAAAAATGCACTAGTCCTAAGGGGGCATTCAAAGCTTATCTCATCATATATGAAACCACAAGGAGAATAGAAATCCATCTGCAGAATTGTGCAATTATAACCAATAACCCCTATTTTTCTGCAGTAGCAGAAGTGCTAGTTTTAAGATCTACTTGGAGCAAAAACAATATACATATGATAAGTAAAAAAACCTAAATGATGACTTCACCAGCTACAAAGTCTGTCCGCTGTTTACAGAGAGAGAGAGAGAGTACAATAAGAAAAACACAAGCCAAATTAAATAAGAAATTAAAAAGAACAAACAAACAGCAACAGTTAGTTTAAACCAATGATGAGTTCAAACAGATTTTGGTTATGACGTGGCTGGTTTGCATTTCCGGCTTTTCAGCAAACAAGGATACATTCAAGAAACAACCTTCACGTCTGAAGTAAGCATTGCCTTTGCTCTTTGAACCTGTAAGATCAAACCAAAGAATTTGCCTTTTGAAATGATGTACAGAATTTGACAGATAAAAATGGTCTACTAACACTGTAGGAAATATGGACAAGACTGAGAATGCAAAAGTAAAATTTCAGAGCAAATTACAGAAAAGTGGATCTGCTAAGAAAAATAAAAAGGTCGCTGGTTCTGATAAACTAAAAATAGCACCAATGTGAAGCTATCTAACCTCTTACTGCATCCCTGAACAAAAAAAAAAAACCTGTTACTGCATCTAGTTCCAACACAAAAACTAAAATGTGATATATGACACTGATAAAATAGAGGAAATTATAGAAAAGTGAATCTGCTAAGAAAACTAAGCAGAATACTGATTCTGAGAAACAAGAAATAGCACCATTATGAAGCTGTTGAACCTGTTGCTGACTCTACTTCTAACTGAAAAAACCATGACACAAATAAAATAGAGCAAATTATATATTAACTAACTGTGATTTTACTTAGTAACCCCATACATTAGAAGCCTACACATAATCTCCTCAAATTTTAAAGCAAACTAAAACACTTAGAAATTCTGTGACAATTAAGGCTCAAGGTCAAAAGTAAAAATTTTCAACAAAACATGTCAAACAAACTATTATACTCTTGAACATATTCTATTATAATTTTGGTACTGCTCTAAAATAAATCAATTTCTTCTTCTCTCTTCCCTCTATGACGGGAAGAAAAAGAGAGAAGAAACTGAGTTATGTGATACAACTCGAATTCACATACCAATATCTATATAATCAAACACAGCCCATTTTGAATTCCTTCACTTAGCTTAGCACAAGAATAGCTGAGATTGATCCAAAATTCATCCAACTTAATTCAATGGTCCAAATTTAGTCTCCAAAAAAAAATATTCTCCCCCAAACTCAAATCCCCCTTTTTGCACACCCCCCAACAAACCCACCAAAACACACTTCTATACCACTCTCTCTCCCTCTCTCTCTCTCTCTCTCTCTCTCTCACAAACCCATGTCTTCTCACATCAAAAATTCATTGGCAGAGGAGACATTTGTTTGATTGGATCTGGTAATATTGAATTTATGATATATTAATATTTTTTGGGGAGTCCTGTTTCCAAAGAAAACTCTGCCAGGTCTTGTAACTTTGGTTGTCATATGTGTGAATCTCTTTCCCAGATTTCTCAGGATCCCATTAGAAAACCTAGGTAGATTTTATAATAACTAGGGGAACAAACTCATCCATGCCTACTGTCATATGTTTCAAAACAGGCAATACCTTGAGCTTGTTTGAATATTAACACAATAAGATCCCCACAAGCCCAATAAAATGTAATGGTACAAATATTTCAATAGGTGGCGCCCTAAAATTTGTTACATTGAAAGCCTCCAAAATCCAACAAATTTATGTCAAAAAAATTAACATTATGCAACCAGTAAACAAGACAGATTTTTTTAAGGAGGCAACAAACACCCCAAAGATGTAAAGGAGGTCATGTCTTCTCCGATGTTAAATAAAAACATGCGACAAGCACAAATGCCCAACCCTTACCACAAAGTCTCAACGCCATCCAAGCCCTAAGAGTGCTAACATGCAAACAACAAATCGAGATATGTATGAAACATAAAGATTTCTATGCCTTCAGTTGCTTGCTCTCTCACCTTCACATGTTTTACTAATGTTTTCAGGGTCAATTGAAGTATGTACTCAGTACAAAGAAAGACTTGTTCTAACATCAATCATCATGTCTTCAAGGTTTCAGAGGAAAAAATTTATAGATTTGACAAAACCATTTCTTAAAAATATTAGAGAATTTACCTGCTTAACCATTCTCGAAAAATATATTCTGCTAAAAGCACCCTAGTGAAAGTAAACCAACCAATCTTTGGTCTCATTATCCAACTAAGAACTTACTTCAAGCAAAACATACAGCCCACATAAAACTCTAGAAACTTTACAGCACCTTTTCCTGGTCAAATTCATTTTTTCACACTTCATTTCTCTCCATTTTTCCGACTTCAGAAAAAAAGGGTTATGGAGGGACAGCCTCTATTACAATTAACTCTCTTGTTACATACTGCTTCACTCAAAATGGTAACCCATCACAGCTCAGTATCACATTCTTCAAATGCCAAAGCTGATGCACTGTTTTATGTCCATAAACAAAACCAAATATTAGGTGATGATGCAATGGCATCTGAATGCTCTTTCATTTAATCTTGTACCAGCACAGTTTACATTTCCATGCCACAATTTTGTTGCTACAAGAATGCAAGCAACCTCCATGTGACAGATGACCACATCATTTACATGCTCCAACAATAGAAATAAACTATAGACCAAATTTCTTTTAGGAGAAATTTGGTAGAAGCTTACCTATCCACTACATTTTAAAGAAGCTTGGCCAATAATACCATACCATTTACCATTCTCCTTTATTACGGTCAAGTTGTCAACCATTAACATTCAGGTATAGTTTTGAAAATCGAGAAGCAAGGGCGACATTTTTTATTCACTTTGAATGACGTGGAAGTCATAGTACAAAAGGAAAAAGTAAAATGGACTTCTGAAGTCGATAAATACAGAAAGTTAAGACGACAAGAAAACATCATGTAGACAAGGGAATAATTTGGCATGTTTTTCTAACCTTTCATCTCAAGTAGGACATTGATTAAATGTGACTTGAACATGCTAGCAAATCAAAGTTTATCAGACCTTTATTTTTGACAGGGTTCATGAGAAAGCCCAGAAAGATATTTGGCAGCTTGAGGATTGAATTATGTAAGTTTTCTAATTTCAAGATTTGACTACTTCGGGTTCAGCTTCACTTTTATTTTTATCTTTGGACCTTGGGGGAGAAGCCTACAACCACTGCGTAACATAATCAGGTGTGATTTTTAGGCATTGAAAATATTGGTCAAAACAATTTTCACTGACGGAAAGCAGTTTCAGAAACCTTGTGAAGGATTTGAAGATGGAACAAAAGTTGTTTTTGGTTGAAGTAACAGCAATTGCAATTATTAAGCAATCCAAATCACAAATAAGAGGGTGATTGGGGGTAGCCATGAAGTTATTTTGAAGATGGAAAATAAGGGTATATTTTACAAAAACTGGAAATGGATACTTTGTATGAGATGTGTTGGTTGTTAATCATACAGAAGGTTTAACTGTATCCAAAATGCAGAATAATGTGGGATAAAGTCAGCTGGTAGATCATGATGTAGGAGTACAGAAATGGTTGGTATAGGAGCAGGGATTAGAGAAACAGGAGTGCATCAACTGTTGTAAGTGGAGAAGGAATGCCCGTAAAACACACGTAAGCTAATGACAAATTTGTGAAAGGAAAAGAGTGATAAGATTAGTTGGGCTTTATCGGCTAGTAAGTGAATTTTTAGTGAACCTGTGAAATGGAGTCATCATTAGAGCATTCAACCCAAAACCAATTGGCAATGGATGGAGTTGCCCTTTCACTTTATAGACCAACCTTGAGTGCTCATAATTTGTTGTAGGATTCAAGGTCTCTTCTCAATCTCCCTCAAGTGGGACCCAAATTCGCACGTGGGGTTAGCAAACCAAGAATCAAACATGCAAATTGAAAATTTCAAATGGGCATAAGAGACCCAACCCCTTAACCATCCAAGGTCAATCTCTGATATCATGTTAGAGCATCTAAACCAAAAATTAATTGGCAATGGGTGGAGTAGCCCTATCACTTTATAAAACAACCTTGAGCAATCCTAGTAATTTGGTGTGGGATTCAAGTTCTCCTTACAATTGTGTGGTGATTTACACAAAAAAATGCCTGTTTGATTCATGGAGAGACAATCATAGACGCTTAGAAAAATTGGTTAAAAAATGATTGGATCCTTCCCTGGCTTATAAAGCAATTTTTCCTCCCCAAGTGTAGATGAGGCAATTGAGGTGCATATTTCTGGACATAGTTTGTGCTATAACTCAAAAGGTAAAGCCATCAGAGAGTGACCTGAACCAAAATACATGCTTGAAGTTTGTATTTTCCACAAGTTAGCAACCTTGTAGAGGTGTTCTATTAGGGTATTAAGTACCATTAGCTCCAATCACTAATTTCATAAAGAATGGGGAGTTCCAATGAACTACTGTTGTATTAGGGCTTTTTAAGTTCAACTAGGAGCCAAACACAATGATGGGGATTGAATGTCTTTCGAAATGGCAGTTGTAGACGTAGAGACTAGAAATTTTTTACTTTTGGGGTCTTGTCATTTTGAT